TTATAAGGAAACGCCAAAAACTTAATACATACATACTATTAAGACCCATACAACAAATGTCATCAAAGGAAATCTAAGTCGAAGACAAACAAAAGAGGAGTACGAATATAAGGAGAAAGTAAATAATAAAATAATAATAAAAAAAAATCAAAATAATAATGTTAGGGCAACCTGACCTCAGACAACTAGTAGTATGTACGTTTTTTTTTTATGACCTCATGTCTCTTTCTTTGAGACGGTCTGTATTTTGTATCTTATGCTATCCAAAATACAAAATAAAAATAAGAATAAAACACAAATACCGCTAAGTGGCTACGTGCTTTATGTATATGAACCGACTATGTTTGCGAAATTGTTTGTTTATGTTTGACAACATTTTTTTTTTTCACAGCTTTATCAATTCACGCTGTAGGTACATAGGTTTCATTCAAGCTTTATATAGACGCTAATAAATGCACACACATTATGATGGCTCGTACAGAAGTGAATACATACTATATCTATATACTTACGTACATATGTATGTACCTATTTACTTTTGTATGTCTGCCTGTGAGTGCGCTTATTTAATAACCTTCATAAAACTTAACTGTAAGCTCGACAAATAAAATAATCGCGCACGCACGTGATTCACACACACACACACGCACACTAATAAACTAACATTTTTACGTATGTAAGTAGGTATGTGTGTATATGTAAATTTAAGAAAGCAGCATGAAAATAAAAGCATACAAAAAGGCGTTCAAGGAAGAAGCACAAGAAATTTATAATCAAAGTCAAGTATGTACATAGAAAGCAGAAGAAGCCAATATAAACATTAGTGTGTATCACACTCAGTACAAAAATAAAATCAGTACTGTTTTTCCATTGGAATTATAAAATTTCATTTATTCTAATAAAAGTGATTTAAGTGAAAAATTATTATTCTGCCTTATCCTGAGTTTCAATCGAAAAAAATTTTACTCGAAAATTTCTATTCCGCCCATAGTAAATACATGGAAACCATAAGTGAAAAGTGACCCGTTTCGGGTAAAATGAAACTCATGATAAGGCTGGTTATTTTTTTTTTTATCTAATATGAAAACTGGCAGAAGATAAAAAATCATGTTTCACTTAAATTGCTGGTGAAACTGACAGTAAGACTTCAGCCAAAATATTTCGGAAAACATTACGATTTACGTGAGCTCGAATCAGTTGAAAATGCCTTAAAAATCGGGGCTTTCTTTTAATAAAATTATAAAAAATAAAGTAGGTTTAAAAGGATAAAAAATAAAGTAGGTGTAGAAAGCTTTATAAATTGACGCCTTCATACATGTTTCAATTTATATACCTTTTATAAAGCTGCTTAATTTTTTATGAATAAGGTTAGCTTTTAAAAAATATTTTTCCAAAAAATTACCTCAGTTGATAGAAGAGTTTAAGCTTGAAATACCTTCATAAAAATGTAAAAAAATTTTATCAATTGAATCAAAATAATGATAATTCTGGAGGTATTTTCAAAACAGTGTAGCTCACGTAAATACTAACATTTAGTCGATATATTTTTACGGAAGTCCTAAAATATAATAAATTTTATAGTTCCGGTGGAAAAACTGCAACTATTTTTTGTTGAGGCACCCTAATGTGTGTAAACACGTACACAAGTATATAAATATGAAAACAAATCAATAAAATGGAATCAATAAAAAGCACAATGACAATTTTGTTGTAAACATTGATTTCATAAATACTTCCAAAAAGTTAGTGTATCCCGACGAAGAACATAGAAATATGTATTAACAATAAAATGGAATTGACATGATTGAGCAAAACTGAATATTGACTCGTTTACATTATTCATGTGACTATGTTATCGAATTTGTTTAAAGAGCGTTTAGAAACTCTCCTCATTAGACTATCGGGGTCAGTTCCACTATCCAGCGTAGGGTGAGTAGATTTACTCTGTAAGTAGCGTACTTTCACCTTTTCTGTTGAACAGCTGAAAAAGAGCGCGTGCTGGGTCATAGCCAGCGCTAATAACGTGTCCTCATCGTCAGAGGAAAGCTTCTCCGTAATCAACCCAGCGTATGAGCACTTGTATACTATGACTTCATACTTGGGTTTGATTGAATCTTTCTCCACCTACATACATATATCTAAGTTCTGAATGGGAGATCCTACTCTCACCTGGAAGATATCCCCAGTTAACACCTTTACGGATGAGTCCAATTTGCATGGTAAAGCTATAGGAGTTCTAGCCTATCAGCAACTTTCGTCAGCTATAAAAGAGGCAGTTGACTGAATGGGGTACATAAATACATCATATCGATTATGACTGCAAATAACTATGTATGTATATATCTACTCTGACTATCGAAATAGGACGGGCAATGCCTGATAACTCTCTCAGTCGTTTCGGATTACAGCCAAATCACGTTGATTCGTTGCTAGGCCGGTCAATCTTCAGATCATTTCTCCCGACAGGGGGATAGGAGTTCTTGTGGGAACGTATAGATTGTTCCTGGACAGATGGGCTTACATTTAATATTAGGTACTCGGCACAGCAAGCGCTGGGCGAAAACGCCGGGATGCAAAGTCCTTCTGACCCGTATTTAATCGCTGGCGCCCAAAGGAGCTTCTGAAGCTGGCTAGTCGACAAGGCTCTAAGGAGCCCTGACCGGGTACTGTCCGTAAGAAATCTATGCGGTACGAAATATTGGAGTATTATTTTTGCTTCTTTTCAACCACAAAAAGAGAGTCAGCGTTTACTTCTCAAATAAACCGACTACCTAATATCAACAAATTATTTCAAATGCTGCGTCTCTGTTAAACATTGCGAATTATTAGATATTGTAATACGTCTTTGTTTTTGTTATTACTTATTGTTTGGAATTCGCCGGTACCATAGATAATGACTCGTTATTTAATCGGGTTTTATTTGGTTATTTATTTGTTTGTACTACAACATATCGATAAACATACATACATACAATATATCGATGTACATATCTTCACAAACACTTGTTATTTACTACTTTGTTTGCCATATTTTTGGCAATTCTTTTCGCATTCATTTTTGGCATTGCTCTTTTTGTGGCCCCTATTTGTGTTTATTTGAATGAGTGACACCCTCGACGAAATGTGAGTCACAACTTATATGAATGGAGAAAAAATGGCTTTTGGATGAATCAAAACGTATGCATGTATGTAAATGGACAAGAAATTAAACCATATAGGGTACCTACGGTGCTTTTTCCAGAAATATTTTTTAGCAAATAAATTTTACGAAGACTTTTCGGAGTAAGACAATATTTCTAAACAAAGGATTGGAATCGAGATTATTTCCATTATCCATTATCTGAAGGTAGGTATTTTTACAACCGGGAAAGGAATCTGTGATCATGTGAATCCTTTTATTAAATAGTACCTAAAAGAGCTTTGCGTAATTGTGACCTGCTATGATACCTTAGTTCTTTATTCTTGCTTTGAGTGAAAATAATTAATTTCTAATTTCGGGTTTGTCGTTTCAAAACAGGGAAAACTTCTGAATACTGCAATGGATGAATTAAAAACTGGTACTTCCAATCGCAACTAAATCTCGCAAAGCATTTCTACGAACAGCAGGTCTATTCTGCGCTGCTAACAAAATTTTCTTAACCGTTAAATAAGTTCCTGTCCATTTTTAAACCATTTTCGCATTCTGTGCGCTCTTGTAACCGGTCAATTTTGCTACCATCTCATAAGATGAATGCAAATTATTGCTCCTTGAAATATGCAATACCAGAATTTCCACAAATTCAAATGTAGCTAAATTGCTAAATATTTTGACTGCATTACCAACTTACACTGCCGGAAAAAAGTGTAAATGTAAAAGTGTAAAAGTGTATGCAAAAATTTTTATAATATTTTTCCGCCAGTTTTTTATACAAATATGGTTCATTCTACAACAACAAAACATACAAACATAATTTCTAAAGTTTGTGCAAAACTCGCGAAAAATCAATAAATTTTCATGCAAATTTTTAAGCAGTTTGCAGTTTTGTACCCCATTAAATTTAAGTATGAAAAATACAAGTTTGAAGTTAGTAAAAAATCGCGTTGATTTTTGAGCATTATTTTTGCATTTATTGTAAAAAAAAAAATTTTGTGTCAATACTGTTAGCCGGCAGTGTACATAGAATCGCGATGACAAGAAGTGGTAGAATTTATTGGTAAGAAAATTTTTCGCTTACAAAATCACCGGTAACGTGCATAATAGACCTGTAAGGGTGCTTGATAGCAAAAACTTCATAACTCAAGACATCCAAAATTGCAAAAAAAAAGGCTTTAATATTTTTAGTTAGGTTTTTCGAATTGAACAAAACTAAATAATCTAGAGGAAATTGTCACTCAAAAATGCTATACATCTGCCCTGCTAATTTTTAGTTTCAAGTCTACACGACACCGACCTCCGCTTTCGAAAACGATTCTAAAAAATACCCGGATTTCCACTGGACATTTTAGCAAATTTGCGTATTAAAAAACCGGTGTTAATCTTTAAAAATAAAAGTCATTAAAGGTCGTCTTCTGAAGTAGGTTTTCACATGCCAATGGTTTAATGGTAGAAAATGTTTCGTAATTTTTGTCATTTCAATGCCTAGTGGAAATTCGCCATTACGTAGATGTAATTGGCTTTATGGGCTTTATTAATAAAAAAATAATAATTGCTTTTTCTTAAAAATTTCAGACCTTTTACTTAAATTTGTTTGAATAAATCGAAAAAAACGTTTGCTAAGGTTTTATGTAGTTGCTTAGTTTTTTTCATAAGGCCCAATGTCCAGCTGATTTTCAGCATAATACCGGATTTCCACCGGGCATTAATTGGCAACAATTTGAATGACAAATTTGAGCATAAAGTAGTACTCTTGCCAGTATGCTAGAAGTTAAGTTTTTTAAGTAACAAAATTGGTTGACACTTTAAAGCCCAGTGGAAATCCTGCTTAAAGATTAAAGTAAAAAAAAATCGTAATTTAACTCACCATCACACGATAATGTCACATCCGCCAAAACGTCCGATTTGAATAGATTGGAGAATGTTATTGCCAAATTGGACGAGTAACTGTTCCATTTTAAACAAAATTGTTGCTGTGGATCCATTTTGAATTATATTAAGTTAAGATTATTAATTAATTAAAAATTAAATGCCTTCGTTTTTTTTTTTTTTTTTTTTTTTTTTT